ACGGAATCGGATGTTCGCTATTCTCCTTATAACTTTCACTTCCCGATCATCTCTACTTTCTCACCCAGCCACTCTTCTCGAATACGTAAAATATGGCATCTAGTACAACATTCATAAAATAGTACTTAAGTTAGTAAGGAGAGACATCTATTATATTTCTTTCTATACCCTCTCAGTAACTTGACATCTTAGCAGCATGTAAACTATTTTTACATCAAATTACACTTGATTTCAGCCAAGAATCAGCTAAACCTATAGCTATGATACCAATAAATGTAAATCTCATCTCTCGTATACCTTTCCGTACATGAGATATAGATGACACATCACTTGAAAAACAATTCTTTTGAAAACTCGTAAAATTTGTTACTTTTTATAAAAACATTTTTAATTAAAACTAATATAAAACATGCATTAAATTTAATTACATAACAAAAAATATTGTTCAAATGTTTTTTAGAGTGTCTTACTAAATACATTACATGTCAAATAAATATATCAAAAAGTGGGCATGTATGTTATACTGTTATTGACGAGGCGACCCTTTTTCTTTGATGTTAAAAATCTCCTTACTCCTCTACTAGTATAACCTATGCGTGAAATTAACACACGTTAAGAGATTTCTTAGTGAGTCATAAACAATCATAAGTAAAATTCTAAACACAATTTATTTTATTACAATTCACATTTCAATGAATTCTTTCCATTCATTAAACACTCTAGGGTTTACATCGGTAGTACAAATACCGTCATTTCTTGACCATTACTATAATCCATATGGTTTGCATATCCATTATCAATATAAAAATCCACCTCCTTATTATAAATTTCTTATGTCTATACACATATTTCCCATACAGAAATTCATACACTTAGTATGAATCTCTTAACTTTTAGCACACAAGGTGCCCAATACGGAAATTCATACACTTAGTATGAATTTCTTAACTTTTTGTACACAAAGTTCCATTACGTAAATTCATACACATAGTATGAATTTCTTAACTTTTTTCACACAAAGTGCCAAATACGAAAATTTATACACTTAATATGAATTTCTTAACTTTTTGCACACAAAGTGCCCAATACGGAAATTCATACACTTAGTATGAATTTCTTAACCTTTTGCACAAAATGTGCCCAATACAAAAATTCATACACTTAGTATGAATTTATTAACTTTTTGCACATAAAGTGCCCAATACGGAAATTCATACACTTAGTATGAATTTTTTAACTTTTTGTACACAAAGTGCCCAATATAGAAATTCATACACTTAGTATGAATTTCTTAACTATCTCCACACAAAGTGCCCAATACGAAAATTCATACACTTGTTATGAGTTTCTTAACTTTTTGCACACAAAGTACCCAATACGGAAACTCATACACTTAGTAAGAATTTCTTAACATTTTGCACACTTAGTGCGAATTGGTAATCACCATGCATACATCAATACTTCCTACAACTATGACTACCATAGCATATACGTACATAATTAAATGCACTCACCTGGCTTGCCTCGCTTTGGTATCCAAACGTAAAGCTGACTACTCCTAAACTTATCCTTTGCCTTTTGCTTTACTTGATTCGGGGGCTTGATTTCGATCTGTTCAATATCTATTAAATATATGTACAATATCAATTGTTAGTATAATACCTAACAATTATACTTAACATTACTCAATAGTACCTATCATTAACTTTTCTATAACAATATCAGCCTATCTCACCATTTTTGGTTCGTTAGTATCGATACCCTTACCATGGTATCGATAATACTATACTATGGTATCGATACTCTGTTACGGTATTGAAACCATTTTTGTATTATGTTTTTAATGGTATCGATATCTTTCTCTCGGTATCGATACATCCCTCTCGGTATCGATACTAATTACATCAGTACCAATACTACTTAGCTAATTCTTTCCATTATAGCCTATAGTATCGGTATTGTTCTATCAGTATCGATACCCGTGCCCAGGTTTTCCAGTTTTTAACTCGAGACATACCCAAATTTGGTCAATTTTCCTCATGTTTACCCCTAACAAATATTATGTAACTCTTCTCTACTTATCCATACTAACTTTCCTTTATTTAGATACTTAAAACACCTAATATCCCTCGAGAACATTTGATTCTAAGAATCACACCAAAATTTCTAACATGTTTTTAAACTCATCTAATGCTTCTAATCTCTCATTTACTACTTTGACAAGTCAATTCTACCAATAAACATCAATAAACACTAATATACTAAAATATCATTTCAAAACTCATTTTCTAAAATCTCCAATATTTCCTCTATTTCATAGTTTTAATCTCATATAAGCTTTCCTTAAGCTTACCTATTACTTAAGGTTACAATAACCAACCAAAATCAACCTAAAACATGAGTAAGATGAAGCTTACCTTAAGCTATGGAGGGACATTCTCACCTACGGGAAAAAGAAGAGGAAGAGAAATAAGTTTTTTACTTTCCTCTTTTTCTTAAATCCCTAATTTAAATGGGTTTTAAATTTATTTCACCTCAAAGACCAAAATGTCTTTTCAATAAACTATATCTTACAAATTGGTCTTACTTAAGTCATTTCTTATACTTTACCAATTACTCAATTTAGTCCTACAAATTTTAATTCCTTTCAAATAAATCACTGACCTATTATTTGGGGTATTACAATCACTCAACATCCTCTGTAGCTTCAAGTAATGCTACAACATCAGTGTAACAATTGTTAGCAATAAATAATAGCTTTGGTCCAAATTCATCACTTATCTCTCATGGTGCAAAATGCATGAAAATATATACAAAATGATCTTAATATGGTTTTAACAATGCTGAATTTCAAACTAAACCTAGATATAAGGAACTCAAACAATAACTCTATTGGAGAGTTATCACAACCCTAAACCTAAGTATTTTCTTATCCTCAAGCAATAATATACATGAAATGTAACTAAGCTAACAACAATACCACAGAATAATATCATAAAACCAAATCAAAATTTAATTTCCTTTTTAAGCCCTCAGTTCATTGATAGAACAGTACATACAACATCCATATAATCTCTAATTAGGGAATGCAATATTAACTTATTAAGATCAGAATCCACAAAATGCAAGTGTGAAGGCTAGGAGTATCCAATCAATACTTAGCTAATTTATAAAAGCTTGATCCAAGTCAATTAATGATTTTCAATGCTATAGCGACCAACTTATCTAAAACTAATGTCGGAGCCAGTTTTAGGCACCTTCAGGTTATTTGAATACTTTATTCTTTCTATATACATTAGTAGAGCCAGTTACGGGCACCTCTAGTTAATTGGATTCTTTGTTTTTTTAGTAGATCCAGTTTAAGGACCTCTAGTTCTAGGATTACTATAGCATCTAATAAGGATATTAGTTTCGGGTTCAAAAATTTTTGAATTCTCCAAGTATTGAAATCATACACCTAAAGTGTAAAAACAATTTATATGGACCTAATCCTAAGAAGTTTCTAAAGCAATCCATAGCATTTCACAATTTTCCTTTTTTTATCATTAGGCATCATCAAAATTCTATTTAAAAGCTTCATTGATTTTCTAATATTAAACATGTAGTATTACCAATGCAAATCCTAAATGGTGCTACAAATGCTAAATAAAACAACATAAAAACCTACAAACAATGTTAAACACAATGTAAATAACATGCATTAATGTTCACTATCCTAAATGTCTCAACATGCAAACAAAATAAATGAAACACAAATAGACAACACACCCCAAAACCTAAGGGATGCATTGTCCTCAATGTATGGACAAGTCATCACAAAAAATAACATGAAATGGGGACCAAACAATCATCTACGTCAACTTGTTCCAGCGCTTCATCAGTGAAGCTGTTGAAAAATGTCGTGCGCTCGCATTTAGCATCTTCAATACCCATCAACAAATTAATCAGTCTAGTGCACCAATGGACCATTTTCTCTCGTACAAACACTAGAGGATTTTTTTTCATCAGTTAAATTGCTATAAAACTCCCAAACAACTAATTGATTAAATTTCACCAGGATGGGAACAAAAAGTTCCCCATTTAAGATTGGCAATGGACTTGGTGATGTAGGTGAACGCTTTTGGATCTTCAGAGGTAAGATCAAACCCTTGTTCATAACAAAACTCACGGTTGGAGAAATCCTTTAAGTACTATCTTTGTTGTTTGGCCTCCATAAATTGCATCGGATCTTTGTTGGATATGGCTACCGATTGAGTAGATAGCATCTTTGGTGGTCGATTCAATGTTCGGTCGAAAACTTTCATATTAAATTTCTTAATATGATCCATTTTTGGTGATGTTTGGTAATGAGTGAAGAAGAAAAAGTTGATAAAAACGGTGACTTTGTGGAGGATAGGGGAGAAAACGGCTGAAAGGAATGTGAAAAGAAAAGTAAAGTAAATGTTTTTTTAGTGTTAGTGGGCAAAATAAATGAAGGTGACGTGTAAAATTGGTGAAGGGATTTTTGTTTTGAATTTTGAATGGATAGATAAGGATAAGTATAAGATTTTGAATGAAGGGTGGTGATTAAAAGAGGTGGATGGTGAGGATGAAATAAGCAAAAAGTGGAAACAACTCACATATTACTTTTACCAATTAAAAAAATTATTGTATGCCTGGTAGATGTTGTAAGCATTTTGTCTAGCATCAGGAGTGCAAATAAGTAGGGAAACAACGAGTAGTGTTGTAGCAAAATCTTGTACGGAAGAAATAAAGAAATTAAAATGCTGATAAAAGAAAAACTAAAATAATGTCAAAATTGACTTATTAAAAATAGTAAGGGATTAAAGAGGATGAGGTTCTTTTAATGTATTGGAAGTAATGTGGGATCTTGGTTGTTGACAATAATGCTATAAACGTTGTCCATTGACTTTGAATGTACTTTCATCCACCAAATTCTTTAACAATACTTCTCCATGAGGAAAAACGTCAAGGATTTCAAATGGACCAGACCAACGAGATCAAAGCTTCTTAACAAATAGCTTTATTTGAGGGTTAAATAACAACACATATTCTCCAGTATGAAACTTATGTGGAAAAATGTGTTTATCGCACCATTTCTTACTCTTGTCTTTGCAAATCCAGGCGGTCTCGTACGCATCATTTTGAAGTTCTTTTAATTCATTGATGTCCAACATTCTTTTCTCACCAGTAGCATCAATGTCAAAGTTCAGCTTCTTCAAAGCCCACATAGCTTTATGCTCCAGCTCCATGGGTAAACGATAAGTTTTTCCATAAACAATACAATAAGGAGACATGACCAAAGAGGTCTTGTAAGCTGTTCTACAAGCCCATAAAGCTTCATCAAGTCGTAAAGACAAATCCTTCCTTGAAGGATTCACGGACTTCTCTAAAATTTGCTTTATCAAGCGATTTGAGACCTCGGCTTGATCATTTGTTTGAGGGTGGTATGTTGTGGCAATGTGATGTTTTACTCCATAGTTTGCAAGGCATGGTAACTTGCCTACTAACAAACTGGGAACCCTCGTCACCGATGAATGTTCTAGATGTGCCCAAACGTGTGAAAAATATTCTTGTGTAGGAATTTCAAGATAACTTTAACATCGCTTAAAGGTAATGCTACAGCTTTAACCCACTTGGACACATAATCCACATCCATAAGAATAAAACGATTTGGTCAAGAAGATGAATAAGGTCCCATAAAATCCAACCCCCAAACATTAAATAATTCGATTTCAAATATCAGTTACATTGGCATTTCATTACGACAATAAATATTGTCGATTCATTGACAACGATCATAATTTTTTACGAAGTCATTGGCATCTTTGAATAACAAAGGCTAGTAGTAACCACATTGGAGTACTTTAGTTTTTGTGCGCATGCCATAAAAATGTCCATTATACTGTGCATTATGCGAATGGTGTAGAATGATTTGCTGCTCACATTAAAAGACCCATCTCCTTAGGACTTTATCGTTGCATTGCATGAAGATGTAAGACTCTCCCAATAGTTATCTCTAATATCTCACATGAACTTTATTCTACCTTGGTGAATGAGGTCTGGTGGTAGCGTACCAGTAGCTAAATAATTCACAAAGTCTACATACCAAGGAAAAGCATCGATAGCAAGCAACCTCTCATAAAAAAATCCATAATCACAAGTATTCTCCATATTCACTACCAGATTCTAATCAGGACAACTGGCTAGTCACTTGATTTTCGGATCCCTTCTTATCATGAACTTCAATATCAAATTCTTAAAGGAGTAATACCCATCGAATCAACCTCAGCTTAGTGTCTTTTTTAGCAAATAAATGCTTCAAGGCCTAATGGTTAGTCTAAACAATGACTTTGGTTCCAACCAAGTATGGTTAAAATTTTTCAAAAGAAAACACCACACCAAGCAGTTCTTTTTTGATTGTGGTGTAATTCACTTAAGTGTCATTCAGTGTTTTACTAGCATAATGAATAGCATGGAATACTTTCTTTTTTTTGTTGTCGAGCAAGGTTGCTAGCATCACACATTAGCTCAAAGGTAAATTCCAGTCTGGTGCCACTACAATAGGGGCATTGACAAGCTTTGACTTGATTTTCTCAAATGACATAAAGAATTCATCATCAACAATGAACTTCTTCTTTTGCTCCATCACTGGGCATAATAGTTTAGTAATTTGAGAAATGTCCTTGATGAATCTTTGGTAAAATCCTACAAGCTCTTAACTGATTTTACATTAGTTAGAGGGGGTAATTTCTCAATAACTTCTATTTTGGCCTTGTCTACTTCAATGTTGTGATGGGAAATACGATGTTGTAGCACTATACCCTCGGTTACCATGAAGTGGCATTCTTTCAAATTCAAAATAAAATTGGTCTCTTTACATCTTTTTAACACAACGGCCAAATTTAGAAGACATTGATCAAAATCTTTATCAAAACCAGTTAAGTCATTCATAAATATCTCCAAGCAAGCTTCAATCGTATCAGAAAATATCACTATCATGTAGTGCTGGAATGTTGCTGGAGCATTACATAAGTCAAATGCATTCTTCGAAATTCAAATGTACCATATGAGCAGGTAAAGGTAGTCTTCTTCTGGTCCTCGAGAGCTATGGTTATCTGATTATAACCACCATACTCATCAAGAAAATAATAAAAGCCTGACTAGCATATGATCAATAAATGACAATAGAAAGCGATTTATTCTTTTTTGTTTATTGATCTTTCGGTAACCCATGTAAATTATCCATCCAGTAGTTGTGCGTGTAGGCACAAATTCATTCTTCTCATTGGAGACTACAGTTATGCCCCCTTCTTTAGGATACATTACACGGGGCTCACCTAATTACTGTTAGAAATGGGATATATGATCCCAACATCCATCCACTTGATGATTTCTTTTCGAGCAACTTCCTTAATGATCAGGTTCAACCTTCGTTGTTACTCAGTAGAACTGTTGTCAGGGTCTTTTAGCAAAATTTTTTGCATATAGAATGTTGGACTGATACTTAATATCAACAATGCTCTAAGAAATTGCCTACTTATACTACTATATAACATCAATCAATTTGTGTTCATACGATGCTTTGAGCTTTGCTGCTATAATCACTTGCAAAGTTTCATTTGGTCCAAGAAAAGCATATTTCAAATGCTCGTGAAAGGGTTTCAACTGAAGCTTGGGTGGTTCTTCAATCAAAGTTTAGGAGTTTAAATAGGTCTGTTTGGAAGTTCTAATGACTCCACATATTGCATGAAGTTTCCTTCAAGTCCTTCGCTTTCCTTTATTTCTTCCATTGTCACAGAATTGGCTATAGCAACCTCCATGCTATGGCTCTCATCCCATTGCTCATGCACATAAACATCAATAAAATCCATGGAATTGCATTCAGTATTATCATCAATAGAAGAAACATTTTTCAACACACTGAAAGTAATTTATTCATCATGTATGCATATAGTAACTTCTCCCATTTCGACATCTATGAGAGCTCGGCCGGTGGCAAGGAAACGTCGACCAAGAATGATGGGTCATCCTTGTTGGTTTCATAATCTATGGGAAAGATAATTTATCCTACTCTTACATGAATATTTTCCAAAATGCCACATGGTTGTGCAGTAGAGCGATTAGCAAGCTGCAAAGTCACAGTGGTAGGTTTTGCTTCTCCACTCCTTAATTTCCTTCACTCCCTAATTTCTTAAAAAATAACAAAAGAATTAGATTAATGCTGGCACCCAAACCGCATAAAGCCTTACCTACAAATTGATCACCAATGCTAGAAGGAATAGTAAAACTCCCTGGATCTTTGAGTTTTGATGGTAATCAACTTGTTTCCATGGAACTACACTCTTCAGTTAGAGCGATGATCTCAAATTCTCCAAGCCTTCTCTTCTTGAAAAGAACTTCTCGCATGAACTTGATGTAATTTGGATGTTTTTCTCTAAAGAATCAATCAAAGGAATGTTGATCATCAATTGTTAAAGCACATCAATAAATTCCTTTAATTGTTTATCCTCTTTGGTCTTCTTAAATCTTTGAGGAAAAGGTGGTGGAGGTCTTGGATTTGGTTGACTCAACACTGGTAGTAACATCACAAGTATTACAGGGGGTACTGCTTGAGGTATTTCTACTGGAAATGACCTAGAATTACTATTATGTCTTGCATCCTTTCCTACAACATATGGAGTAGATGCATCTTTATCCACACCCTTGCCCTTGGTTTGTTGGTTATTGTTCTTCTTATTTTAGGTAGTTAGTTTCTCAAGGTGGATCAACTTTGAGTTGTGATGTCCTGACAATGCTCATTGCAATGAGCCTTCCCATGGGCTTTAGTAACCTCAGTATCACTCGATAATGTCACTGGATGCCTATTGCTCAAAGCATTTCGCCAACTGTCCAACTTGATTCTCTAATACTCTCAGCAATTTTGAATGACTTGCCATATTTTCCTTTATTAAGGCTTCAAAAGAGGTTATGTTGGGAGGTTGATTAGAATTTTACCCTTGATAATTCAAATGATTTTGTGGTTGCGTGACTGGCTAATGTTGTGGCATCATCTATTATTGATTGTAATGCAACTATTTATTTCCAAAGTTAGGCTACACAACATTTGGATTGGAAAAGTTTTGGCACCTCTAAGACAAATTGGGATGGCTATGTAAATTTGCATTGTATGAGTTCCCATATGCGTTGGTATTATCATCCCTATTAAAATTTCTCATAAAATAAATAGATTTGGGGTTTTGGGGACATTCCTTATAGTTATGTGCATCACCACAATAAACATAAGATATATGAGAAGTGGTTGTTACCTCATACATGCCCCCTGGCTTTTGTAATTTATTCACCATATATATTGCTGCTTTGATTTAGAAGGCCATTTAATTCAAAGGATTAGAATCCGTTGTTGTAGCATTGTGTCTGTTGAACATGTTCCTCGTGTTAGGGTCGTTATTGGAAATCTTCTCCAATATGCCATATGCTTCATTGTATGTTTTATCCATCAATGCTCCATTAGCATAAGCATCAACCACCATGCAAGTATGCACTGCATTTATGTCCAATAAGGAAATCCATGCATTGGACACTTTCATATCAACTTCTTAAAATGTTCTCATGCTTCATATAAATTTTTGTCTTCCAAGTGCTTGAAAGAGGTGATATCATTTCTCAACTTTGTATTCATATTGGGCGGATTGAAACGTAGTAGGAATTTTTGTGCTAACTCATTCCAGGATGATATAACACTGGGTGGTAGCGAGTTTAGTCATTCTCTACCTTTATCTCGGAGCGAGAGGAAAACAACTTCAGCTTCAGTGCTTCCTCTAGAACTCCTTGTTGTACGAATGAATCACACCTCCATAAATGAACGAAGGTGTTCTCTCGTATCTTCAGTGAATGAACCATTATATTGCCTCATGGATTGGAGCCTCTGGAATATTATCGACTTCAACTCAAAGTTTGTAACCTGGATTGCTTATCATACGATGCCAGGATGTAGATCATCTAGCAATGGCACAACGTGTTCCTTGATGGGTTGATTACGATCATTCATGTTGTATTATTATTTTGCTCAACTCCATTGTCAGGTGGCAATTCTCCATCTTCAGTATGATTAACGGTGGTAAAGCATTGTGACCAAGTACTTGATCACCCATGTTTACTCGATTGCGATTGGCTTCTCTTCGACGATGGTAAAAGGTTTGTTCGATTTCAGAGTAAGTAAATGAAAATAAAAACTCAAATGTAAAGTTATTGATCCCCAAAAATGGCGACAAAAACTTGATGCTGAAATAACGCTACAATAAAATGCAAGCATACATTATCGTCTCAAGTAGTAAAGTGGAAGTTGTTAAGCTTCGGATATCGAACCCATAGAGATATAATATGTTCACAAAAGAGTTATAGGATTAAAGTAAAAGATATATGTTTAAATGAATAAATACGGATTAAGCAGCGAAGTAAAGAAATCAAAATGTGGATAACAGGCAGTGCTACAGCAAACAGAAGAGCAATAAGTCAAGTATCAAATAGCTTAGGATGATAATTAGTTGCTTGTATTATAATTATGCAATGAACTCTACTCTCATGTATCCAACAAAGATGAATCACATTTAATCAACAAGAATAAATCGCCATTAACTCAAGTAACGAAATAATTAACTATGTTAGATAATTGACAGCATGTGCTCAATTAAGGTAATATCAACTTTCAATGATTTCTATTTTTAAATAGCATCAAAAGTCCATACATAAAGATAATAATATTTCTAAACTTATCTTGGAAGTGTAACAGCACATAATCATAGAGTCAAAGCATAAAATAATAAAAACATCCACAAACACATAATCATAGAGTCAAAGCATAAAATAATAAAAACATCCACAAACCATTAAGCTTATAACCAACATATCATCCAAAATTTAACAAATTTCCTAGACTACTTGCTACTTTCCTATCTCAAATGAAGAGCAAAAGTAAAATGAAGATGATCTTCTTGATTGCTGAAGCTAATCAGCAAGCTCATGTATTGTTGTAGCGCTCCCTGATGAGGGGTTTTAGAAACCATGGTTGTTCGAAAAGTGAAATAGGTAGAGAGAACTTTTGGAGATGAGGTAATTGAATGATGAAAAGAGCTCTCCAATTTATAAGCTAAAGAATCCAGCCTTCAACCAATAGAAATCCTCCATATTTTATATTATTGCAACCATTTGATAGTTGTCTTCACCAGCTATCCATTCCAGTAGGTTCCCATAACCGCTTGGTGATTCATCGATTGCTACAACATCACTCAACATCTTTTGCAGCTTCAAGCAATGATGCATCATCAGTGTAACAATTTTTAACAATAAATAACAGGTTTGGCCCAAATTCCTCACTTATATGTCATGATGCAAAATGCATAAAAATATAAACAAAATCATCCTAATATGCTTTTAACAATGCTAAATTTCAAGCTAAACCTAGATATAAGGAACTCAAATGATAACTCTATTAGAGAGTTATCGATTCCTTGGTCAAATGCGGTGATGATAGTTCTCAGGTTATAACTAATAGCCATCATATGGTTACTCGAGGTAAACATGGGATCTTTAAACTGAGAGACTTCCATGTAATGGAGGTGGGTCGTAGTAAGGCCGAACCAACATCGATAAAACATGCTCTTGGTTTACCCAATTGGAAGCAAGCTATTATGGCCGAATATGATGCTCTTATAAGGAATGGTACATGGACTTTAGTGCCGTTACCTGAAGACAGGAAAAAATTGGGTGTAAGTAGCTCTTTATGATCAAAAGAATTTTGAATGGTTCTGTAGCTCGTTACAAGGCTATGCTTGTAGCAAAGGGGTTTTCCTAAGTTTATGGATAAGATTTTAGGGACATATTTAGTCATGTTGTGAAGTATTTAGTGTTAAATGTGGTGTTGCCTTTGGCGGTTCAAAATAATAGGAAGCTTCAACAGGTGGATATGAATAATGCATTTCTTAATGGTGAGTTGGTTGAGGAGGTGTTCATGGTTCAACCTCCTAGTTTTGAACAAGTGTATACAAGTGGTGAAATGTTGGTGTGTAAATTAGAGAAGGCTCTCTATAGGTTGAAGCAAGCTCTGAGGATTGGTACTCTAAACTTTGATCATTTTTACTTAGCATTGGTTTTGTTAGGATGTAAGTCAATGTATCATTGTTTGTTAAACATAGTGGTAGTCGTTGGGTCTACATTATTGTCTATGTTGATGATATTGTTATTACCGAAAGTTGTGATGACTTGATTGAGGAGATGGTGTGTGTGCTTGGAAAAGAGTTTTCATTAAAAGGCCTTGGGGAGTTGAATTTTTTTCTTGGACTTGAGGCTGAGTGTAGTGAAGGTGCGTTTTTGCTGAGTCAGCACAAGTATATTTGAGAGTTATTAGATCGAGTGAATATGGGTGATGGTTGGTTAACTTCTACTTCAATTCTATCGTCACCTAAGCTTACCCAAGATGTTGGTCGTCCACTTGAAAATCTTCAACTTTATCAGAATATGGTTGGTGGCTTACTTTACCTTAGCCATACTAGGCTTGATATCTCATATAATGTTTGGTTGTATTGCTCAATAAATGCACCAACCATGTGAGTTGAATTGGTTAACGGTGAAGCGTATCTTGCGATATTTGAGTGTCACTCTAGACTATGGGTTACTCTTTCTTGCTTCTACGAGTACATTTATGTTACTTGCTTTTTCAAATGTGAATTGGGCAAGTAATAATGATGATAGGAGGTTGATGTTTGGATATTGTGTGTACCTTGGTGATAATCTTATATCTTGATGTTCGAGGAAACAAAAATTCATTTCTCGATCTACGACTGAGGCAAAATATCGTAGGGTTGCTGATGTGGTGTTCGAAATTATGCAGTTGCATGCTCTAAAGCTCAAATTGTTTGGAGTGATAATATGAGTGTTGTGGCTATTAGTGCTAACACAATTTTTCATGTTCGTTCCAAACATGTTGAACTCGATGTTCAATTTGTTCGATAGAAGGTTGCGGATGGTTTGGTTTGTGTCAACTGATTTCCCGGTCGATATCAACTTGCAAACTGCTTCACCAAGCCACTCTCCAAGTCGTACTTTCCTGTTTTCGGTAAAAAAACTCAATCTGGTTGATACTGCCGAGTTTGGAAGTTGACAAAGTAGGGTGAATGTTAGCAATTAAGTGATGTGTACAGGTTGTTAGCAATTATGTAGCGTGTGTAGGTTGTTAGATCAGTTGGCAGAGCACAAGGCTCTTAACCTTGTGGTCGTGGGATCGAGTTCCAATGAGGGCAATTCATAACGGAGGTCTTTCACATAAATTGCTCTCAACCTACCTCCCCCTTACCCCCATTACATATGGGAATAGGGTCAGCTATTTTTTTGTTGCATGGGAATGTGCCTATAAAAGTGTAATTTGTCTCTTAAAGTTTGTAACCTTTTTTGAATATTAAAAATAAAAGAAGTTGACGTTCACAAAGTTAACATGGTATAACAATTAAATGATCTGTGCAAGTTGTTAGTAATTAAGTGACGTGTGCAGGTTGTTAGTAATTGGTTGCTGGGTGATTGAATCAGCTAGAGTACAATTGTATTCTGTTGGGTAATTGGACTGCATGGGTGTGTGCCTATAAAAGTGTAATTTGTCTCTTAATGTTTATAAACTTTTTTGAATATTAAAAATAAAATAAGTTGACGTTCAGAATGTTAACAATAGTATATTGTTTTTAATTAAAGTATCTATTGCTCATTTGTTAACAAGCTATCTAGTGATTAAATCGGTCACTAAATTTTGTTCTAACTTTGTAAATGTCGAACAACATATTCGTGGACGGTGATTAATAGTGTTTATTTGTTCGAAGGGAACTCTCCTATATATGGACAAGTTGTGTTTCAAAGTCTGTTTCTACGCTTTCTCTTAGTTCTATTCTTATTTCAAACCTGTAGTATTTTAGCATTTTCTCCTTGTAAAGTTATTTCATCATTCGTTTATTAATAAGAAATTCAAGTCATTTTCTCATGAAAATTTTCATTTTGCAAAACATACTTACCATGTCTATCCCAACATAAAAAACACACTATCATAACCATGGAAAATCCTACAACGCACATCACACACCGCAATGCACTACTAAATCGACGTACTGAAATACACCACAAGCAGTTTTGTTATTATTATATAAATATTAGACATTATGATGTTTAATTTCAAATTAATCATTTATTAAAATTTAGAATTAAAATTAAATTATGATTTTTTATTATAAATAATAATAATTAATTTTAGTGATTAATTTAACTTTACTTTGTTGGAAAACGATTTGCTATAACATCCAGCGTTGTCGGAGACTTAAATCAAGAGGAAAAACTCACCCAATTCGTCGTTGCCCCAGCATTCGGCCGTCCCAAAGGAAAAGCTATGTCGTTTTCGTCAGTCGACGCCTGTTTGTTTTCCCCCATTTTTAAAGCACGTTAACCTTTAGAAAATCATTACTGAGCGCCGCCCGTCCCAGCTAAACCGACCACGACTGCCGATTCTCGTTCGTCCCAAATCTCCGCGTGTAAGTCCGTCGCCTTTATCTCTTTGGTCTTATTTTACTTTTCTTTTTACTGTCTCCGGTCGTGTTTTACATTTACATGATTAGGATTTGTTTTATTTTTTAATGGTAATATTACATGTTAACCCCCTTATTTGTGTTTTGTTTCAAATGGTTAACTTGCATGGAAACCCCCATAGTTTCCCCATTTATATTTTAGACTTCAAGGTAAACGTATGTTTTTGCTTTAATAGACATGGCTAAATTAAATGAAACCCCCATACTTCTGTCTTAATTTAAATGGTCAAATTGCATGCAAACTCTCTTATTTCCCCCTATTTAGATTTTAGACTTTTAGGTTTTAAATCTTCTATAATTTTTACTTTATTTTTATTTCGATAATTATTTTCGAATTTACTCTTTGATTTTAATTAACAATAATATTAATACTTTGTTTTATTCATTATTTTTATTAGCATTAATCTCATATCATTTGATATTAATTGTTATCGTTGATCTTAACAATTTGATACTTAATTTTAACTTGACGCTAATCTTGTAAAGTTGAATCTTAAATTTTAATTTTGATACGCAAATTTCAATATTGATCAATAATATTAATTTTGATACTTAATGTTAACTTGATATTCGTTTTTATCATTACTTTTGAATGATCAACAAAATTTCAACTTGGATTTTATAACTATTTGAACTAGTTAATAGATCTCAATTTGATTCCTTCTAAACAAGCAAAAATAGAGTGTAAGCTGCATCTCGATATGAATTCATAAAATATCAATATTGAGGTACATGTACTATGATTAATTGAAAGAGTTATGTATGCTTAGTGTTGTGGTTAAAATGTTAAAATCTGAAGGTCAACGTGCATTAAAAATAGAGAAAAACGAACAGGTGGTGGTCGACAAAAATGACAAAGCTTTTCCTTCGGACCAGTCGACTGCTAGACGACGACAAATTGAGTAAGCTTTTCCTCTTGATTTAAGTCTCCAACAGCGCTGGATGTTATAGCAAATCATTTTCCCACAAAGGAAAGTTGTCATCGACGGTGACTGATGGTGATGGCCAGTTAATAACCAAACTTACATAACTTTAAAAATTTTAATTCTAAAACAAATTAAACTATTTAAATTAATTATTATTTTTAAAGAAAAATCATAATTTAATTTTAATTCTATTAATATTAGAATTAAAATTAAATTTTAATAAATGATTAATTTGAAATAAATCATTATACTTTTTAATATTTACATAATAAGGATAAATTTGTTTGTGGTGTGTTTCGGTATGCTGTTTTAGTTATGTATTGTGTTGTGAGATGTGCTCTATAGACTCATCCCACAACCATTCTCTATGACACACCGTGACATATGAGAACATTCACAAGTAAAAAAAATTGTAAAATGATCCAAATAAAATAGAAATAATAATTGGATGTTTAAATACTTATTTTACACAAAAAAATTTCATGCATGATCCAGTCCATGTAGGAAGTAAGAATGAACGCATATGAATCCCTTATCCACTTAGCCTCTCACGTAACAAAAGTATAAAAAATCCAAAACTTAGGAGAAGAAAACCACCGCATTCAAAGCACTGGCTGAAACAATCATGAGCTCCACCATTTTAAAACCATGGATTCACAGTAGTTATCTTCAAGCCACCAAATTTGGAAACTACCCATCTTCAATACTGGTAATTCCTGTGACCCTCATCATCCTTTCCCAAGCTCTTCAGAGCTTTTATGTTAATGGTATTGGTTAACATGTGGTTATTCTTTGAACTGTCAGCTTAAACGAAGCTCAAACAGTACCAGCCTTTTCAACACTGGCTGCCAGCAGGTAAATAGTTAGGTAAGTGATTGATTTTCCGGGCCTTTTCTGCATTAACTGCTTGAAATTTGTGATGTGTATGATATAGATTGATGAAGGAAGCAAGAGTCATACAAGGGGAGGTTTAGTTAAAGTGCATGGTTTACCAGATTGGCCTCTAATGGCGGTTTTAGTTCATCAGGTTCAACAACTTGATGCCCAGAGAGAAATTATAACCAATAAATCTGTTTGGCATCTGAGTGATGATGCCATTAAAACCGTTTGTAAGTGTTCTTTCATCAGATTATTCGTTCATTCAAATCGATTAATGATTTCTGCATTGAAGCTGTATGATAAAATGCTGAAGTATTTTCTTTTGGTCCTTTGCTTTGTAGATGCTTTCTACATCATGTTCACTTGCTGGGGATGTCTGTTCTTTGGTTCCACCAAGGTAAGCATACGTCCATTGATTTTTCTTGCTAGAACTTTTAATTTGGTCGCTTGCTTTTGTTCTGAATTTAAAGCATCTAATTTGGAACATCATTGTGTAGGATCCGTACTATGATTCTGAAGTATACAGGAAAGATGGAGGAGATGGTACTGGACATTGGGTTTATGAAAAGGTAATTTTCTCTAATTTTTCTCCATGTGATTGATCTTTTTTTTTTTTGGTACAAAACAAGCTTCAACACGGGTGTGGCAAAGTGCAAAATTAGGTGTAGATATTAGTGTTCAAACCCAAACTTATTGAATACAACATTGTATGGATGGTTGCATGAACCAATTGAGAGAAGCTCAGGGTTCAGTTCCTCGATACTATAGAAATTCGAAGATCAAGTATGTCTTAAATTGAGGCTGATATAGTCCTTACATCTTGCCAAACCATTATGAATCGGATCTGTAATTTACTGTTTAGCTCACGGAGTTGCTAGATGTCACTTTTCATCTTTTAAAGAGTTGTACTTCACTTATCAATTAGATTGTTTTAGTCAATAGATATATTGTTTGCTCATGAGATTATGAAAATTGCAGCAAGAAGACATTGAAGAATCTGCAAGAGCAGAGTTGTGGCGTGAAGAGCTGATTGAGGAGATAGAGCAGAAGGTTGGAGGGCTGCGAGAATTGGAAGAAGCTGGCCGCAAGTAGAAGCTTCATATATATATATATATATATTGAACCATTACATACCTGCAGATATGTTTTATATGTACATCGACAGAAAGAAGCTAAATATTTGGGTAGTATTTTACTACAAACTTTTTACATGCTTCAAATGATGATTATGAGCATAATTTTAGTTGTTGCCATTTTCTCGTTTTATACTTAAATAACCATTTAGTTCCTCTGCATTTTATCGGTAACCGCTGCCAGTTACTAGAGGATTGTTAGCTATAATCAGCATATTTTATCACCTTGTAAATATGAAGTAATGCATGAAAAATATTTGGTGTAAGATTATCACTTCACAAGAAGCCTCCACATCAACAATTTCTAGAACATATGGTTTAAAGCTTTCAATTGACACCTTTCCTCTCTCCTAGGTTGTGGGTTCAATATATCTTAGGAGCAAAAGTTTCTTTCCCTCCCCTAGGTAGGAATTATTCCAAAAAAAAAAAAAAACCCACACCATGTAGTTCACTTTAAGTAGGATTGTTCAAGATATATTAATAGAATCAGTTCTTTTGTTCTCTTTAAAAAAAATTCATATTATATAACCATATTTAGTAAATTATATATATAAAAAGTTGTATAAACCATACAATTAAATGTTAGAACCAAAATAAGTATGAAATAAAATAAATAATATAAGATTTGTCACATCAAAACATCACGGACAATAAATTAAATGTGAAAGCTTACTTGAATTCATTGGTAAATTAAAATGCTTGAATCTTGATATTGAAAAATCAAATTTTATGGTTTTGAAATTCCAAATTAACAAACAAGAATTTTAGTGAAAAGACTTTTACTATTATGAAGATAAAATATCAAAAAGAATTATCTCATGTATAATTTGAGGATCATATCCCTAAGAAATAACCAAATACATTAATCTTAATTTCTAATCAATCACGTTGGAAGTAAAAGCAGACACGAAATAACTATATAACTCACACAATATATGTTAGAGTTATGACCCAATTTATTACTGGACCAGGTTCTGTTGTACGGAGCAATTTAATATGTTTGAAACTTTAACTTTTTGTCGCCTTTTTGTTGATCATGAAAGGAAATTCAGTTAGAGTAGGATTCATCCAATCCAAGTTTCCTTGTTTGTTTTGTTTCCTATACTTATAAATAGAAAGCACGGGCTAGGGTTTTTAAGTGTGGTTGACTTTGTAACAAGTCTTGCACTCTTTTGACTTAGTGAAAGATTTTCTCCTTTCCTCGGGGTTTTTTTTTTGGGTTTTCCTTGTAAATCTTATTGTTCTTTATTTTTTTATTCAATCGTTTTGTTTGTCGAATATTGTTCTCATATTATAACAAACTGGTATTTGATTCAGGTTTAGGATAATGACAATAATGGAGTATGATATTCTACTATTGAATCGAAACATCAGGTTTTCGCTATGACAAGTGAAGATCCAAGATGTTCTTGCACAATTAGGTCGACACGATGCAATAAAGGATTTCATGAGAAGCCGACAACACAATAAACGAATGAAGAAAAACGTAAGGATCGTAAAACCATTTCTCAGATTTGTTTAAACTTATCAAAACAAATTTTACAAGATGTATAAAAGAGAAAATGCCAGCTTAGTTGTAGGCTAAGCTATAGTAACTATGCATGTAGAATTCATTAACCAACAAGACACACTTAAAGCAACATCTTTATTCACTCAAGTTGGCAGAAGGTTCGTCTCTTGAAGAGCACATGACCGCTTTCAAGGAAACCTTCTCCGATCAGGAGACTTTAGAAGTGAAGTATGATCAAGAAGATTTAAGATTGATCCTCATATGTTCACTAACTCCTTTCTACTCGTCTTTTAGAGACATAATCATGTATAGTCGCGAACACTTACTTTTAAAGAAGTGTACAATGGCTTCACTCGTTTGACAAGATGAAACATCTTGTATATGGTTCTAAGCCCCAGGAATAGGGTATCATGGTGCCAGGATCGACTAGCTCACACTATGGAAGAAAATGAGAGTGTTCTTCTGATAATAGAGAAAGGGGCAGATCAAAATCTTCCAACCAAGATAAAACTTGTCACTTTTGTAGAAGGAAATACCGTATTGATTCATAGTATTACAAGTTACAGAACAAAGATAAAGAGATAGGCTACTGAACAGTCCGCAGAGATTGTCTATTTTAGAATGAAGATAATTTTCAAATTTCATAATTTTTCTCAAATCTAAAATCAATGAGAGCAAATATCACCACATCTATTTATAAGAATGAATGATGCAATGGCAAGAAGAAACTCGAGATGACATCAAAAAGATCATTTATTAAAATTAACTCATGGATCCTTAAAAACGAATCTTTGATAAGCGCAAACTAGTTTTTTTTTATCTTAAAAATGATTTTTCTTAAAATTGTTTAAAAGACGTTTTTAGGTGTTCGACCTACCTAACTCAAAGGTCGATGACGACTCCAAATCCATTTAATCAAAATAAATACCAAAATTCATTTTTTTCTCAAATAAGTCGTAATTTAGGATTTTCATCAAAAAATTATTCTTTCATAAAAAAACATTATGACAATATATTTTCACAAAATAAATGAATTAATTCCAACAATAATTCAACCTAAATACTTTATTTTTTTTCAAAAATAAATATTTCTTGCTTAGTATAGTGGTCAGGTGTTACACTCTTTCTATAAAGGTCCCAAGTTTGATCATCTTAAAATCCATACATTATATTAGTTTAACAAAAATAACTTCTAAAGGCGCCACATCAACTATCGTTAACGATAGAAATAACTGATGATAGTGATTGTAATGTAATTTCCTAACGAATAGTTTTGCAACCAAAAATGTAATATCTACTATAATTGATTTTATAATGAATTTTTAATTAATTAATTTAATTATGTAGTTTTGATAAAATATTTGTCATTGATAATGATAATATTAGTGTCTAAACTTTCGTACTATTATTAATCTTTTTTTCACCCCCTAAACCCGACCTAGACTTACAACCGAATCTCGAAAACCACACTAATTCAAATTATAAGAAATCATGAAATTTTCTGATTATAGATTGCATCACAAGAAAATCAATATAAATCCGTAAACAGAAATAAGAGTTCATAATACATATTATAATACAAGTTTAAAATCCAAAACATGTAAAAATATAATATCCCAAAGTCCTATATAAAGAATGTATATAAATCAATAAAAAATAAATAATATAAGGTATAAGAACATCCATACGGCGTTTGAAAAGAAAGTGAGCTAATAAGCTCGGTGTGTCTCCTAGCTACAACAGGTATTGTTATGTATATATAACAACATAGATAATATGTAAAGAATAACATCAAAAATTAATCATCAGAACGTAACATCTAGAGCAAACAAATTACCTTTCGTCGCAGATAAAATAGAATGGGAAAGTTACCTCTAAAGAGGATCCCGGTCAGAAACAGAAAATAAATGAGGATATAGCCCTCCGAAGATGATCCCAAACAGTAGCAGGAAGTATATGATCCCATGCAGAAACAGGATGAGGATATAATCCTATGTAGAATCAAGAATGCATCAATATACAAATAAAAAGTGATGCAACATTATTAAAAAATCAAACATATCACAAACAAATATAATAAGATTACAAACATACATACAAATAGCAACACACAATATAGTACCATAATATATTAAATGTATCGAACAGGTCAAGGGGATACACTTAAAGTAACTAATAGATAACGACTAAGCCTTACACTTCCCACGATCGGTAATACTAGGTCCTGCGGTCTGGTTCAGTTCGATCAAAGGTTAACTGGTCAAGTTCGATCAATGGTTTAGTTCAGGTTTAGACTGGTTCAAGGATAATTTAGGGTCAAATCAGTTCAATTAGACCAGTCAGTGTTCAAACCTGCTAGAACATACCCACACGCGCACAACGATGTGTGGAGGCTCCTCCAGCGGTCAGAATTCGATGAAACTTTCCAGAGTTACATTTAGAATACAAGGAGTCACTCACCGAGGTCAGTTTATAGTAAATCAAGAAAAATATAATTTTTAGAAAAATCGAAGCAAAACCCCCTCCCTGATCGTGAACGATGACGACGTTGAAGTTGGTGGAGACACTAGATGAAAGGCCACATCGAGACAAAGTAATTGGCTTTTGGCGCTGTCGAGCACGGAAGCATGAGTGATGATGAGACAAGGAAAAACCATAAAAAGAAAAAAGAAAAAAGAAAAATAAGAATAACTTTGAGAGCAAAACGCCAATTTCCAAAGTGAGTGAGAAGAAAAAAAGAAGGAAAAGGGGTTAAATATTCAAATACCCTAGAATTTGGGTTAATTATACCTTTAGTCACTGAACTTTCAAAGATAATTCTTAGGGTGTGACACATTTTTGTCAAAAAAATGTATTAAAAAAGTAATTGTTACGAAATTCATGACTAATATAATAGTGACGAAGTTATTAGTGACAACAGATGATAACTTAAAACATTTGTCACTATGATCTCTAGTGACTAAATTTGATATTTTTAGTGGTAATTCTTTGTGTCACTGAAAATGCATTTTCTTGTAGTGATTGTTCGCCAAAATTATATGTAAAGGTAGAATACATGTCGCATGTTCCATATTTTAGTGCAGTGGGATCTCTAATGTATGCTATGGTTTGTGTGCATCTAGACTTAGTGTATGCAATTAGTTTAGTGAGTAGATAGATTATGGATCCCGGTAAAGAACATTGAAAATTTGTCCAATGGATTTTCATGTATCTTTGATGTACTATTGATGTTTGCTTGCAGTTTGGGTGAACTAGAGATGAAATCGTGGGGTATATAAATTCTGATTTTATAGGAGATCTTGATAAAAGGAGATCATTTACAGGGTAGTTCTTTGTAGTTGGAGGATGTTTCATTAGTTGGAAAGCTAATCTGCAGAGTACGATCACCTTGTCAACTATTGAAGTGGAGTACATGGCGATAACTAAAGCTTTTAAAAAAGTGATATAATTAAAGGGACTCTTTGGTGAACTTAGTGAAGACCTTCATATCAGTATGATATTCTATGACAATCATAGTTCTATATTCTTAACGAAAGATCAAATGTTTCATGAGCATATGAAACATATTGATATCTACTATCACTTTGTGCGTGATGTAATTGCTTCG